TTTTGACACTAAAAATATTATAAGATACATGAGTTATAATTGCGAAAATAGCTTTTATTTATTATTAAGAAACGTGGAAAATTGTTGGCAGACATTTTTCTAGTCACTAAAATGCCAACAGACAATGCGAAAGAAATTTTAAAAATTATTAAAAAATGAAATTTGAAGAATGAAAAAAATTATGGCTTATTTGCATGCCGATTGGTGAAATGTCATATTTATTTATTTTAAAAGCCGTATGCAAAAGGACAGACAAAAAGATCGTGGCTCAATTAGCTGCAGACAGTTATCAAAAGCACGATATTACTCTACGCTTTCAGGGAACGCTCGCCGCCTCATCCATTTAAGTATAGATAAATCATATAATATAAGATTATATTATAAATATATTTTGTTATTATTTCAATAACGATTTTTTTGTCTACCCTTTTCCATACGGCTTTTTAAATTAATTAACAATAAACATGACATTCCACCAACCGACATGCATGTATGCGATGATTTTTTTTGTCAAAATTCTATGCCTCTTTCGCGTTGTCTGCCGGCATTTCAGCCACGAGAAAAATATCTGTCAACTATTTTACACATTTCCTAATAATAAATAAAAGCTATTTGGCAATTATAATTCATGTACCTTATCATATTTTTAGTGTCAAAATTTCACCCTTTCGATTGGCCGCCCCCGCTTTAAGCCCCGGGATCGCGCTGGCAGACATGACTATTTCACAATGGCTACACAAAAGGATATTTCATACAAAAAATTAGCCATGTAACGATGATAAGGTTTTTTATGTAGCCAGCTCTCCGTCTATAAGTTGTATGTATCTTTCGATAGCGTAGACTTCTGCCTCAAGAATGCTGAGTATTTAGTTTTCGACTCAAACACTCTTATCCCTATTCCTGCTTTGGTTTTGGAAGCATCAGTATACGACGTTATGATATCATCTTTTATTTGCTGAGCAAACGTTTCTCTCTTTTGTATAGGGTTTAGTAAGGCACAGCTTTAAAAATTCCTCTGAAATCTTTATACATAAATACCACTTATTTTATTAGAAATAATTGAAATCTGGAAAAAAACACACTCATATCATTTTAAATAAGTTTGAAAAATTGAATTTTTTTGTTAATTAATTACAATAAATAACATTTTTTGCAAAACTACTTATACAAACGTTGTAGATAATTCAATTCACTTCAAATTTGTGCATTAGGTACCATTTTTTGTCGAAAAATGCAAATCGCAAAAAACATCAAATTCAAGGTGGTGAACACCTCCCATATCAAATACCGTGTATTTTTCAAAAGTGGCTCACCCCTGTAACTTTTTCATTTCTCCAGAAAAAAAAATCGAGATTTGGTATGTTAGTATATATGACATATATCAGGATTGATTGACGTATTTAATTAGTATATGTCACACAGTTCTCGTTGATATTAATATTAGTAGAACACTTTATATTAAATATTTTTAAAACATTTGTAAGAGCTTTAAATATTCGAGTACGGTACTATAAAAGTGTAGTTGTGGACAAGAATTTATCCATAATAAAAAATTGGTGCAAAACAAGCATTCGAAAAAACAACTTTCTCAGAATATTAGGGCCCTAAAATGATTATATATTTTAAAAATCCTTAAATCGTCAGTCGTATGAAAATATGTCTAAACTTTTCAAGATTTTATGACCATGTCTGCCATTTTTTTTGGCAGCAAGTATTTGATTACCATAAAATATTATAATACAAACTGATTATAAGATAAGAGTATTTGAACATTTAAGTGTTTATAAAGTACTTTTTTTCTACAGATTCTGAAATTTTTAAAATGTTATGTGTACTATTTTTTTCGAAACCCTAAATCGTGACAACAATGGAAGCTGTTTATAAAAACGTAACGGTCGGTTTTAAATATTTTTTTGTGCCACATGTTTTTTTTATTTCAGAGGGAAACATTTTTATCATGTTTCTTAGAAATAATATCAATAATTTATAAAATCAAGTTATGAAGTAAAGTTATATTAAAGTTATATTAGTAAGATTTTTTTAAAATACATTGTATAAATAAAGATAACAATAACAATAACAATAATAAAGGAAACAAAGAATTTGATATTTATCTAAACATTTTACATATACCGGGTGCGTCTCAAAAGTGGCTCACCCCCTATAACTTTTTTATTTTTTCAAATAAAAAAACGCGATTTGGTATGTTAGTATATGACAAAAATTATATAGGATTGATTGACATATTCAATTATTTTCGGTCACTTCCTGTTTCACCGGAAATGAATACAACTTTTGATTTTTAAATGACACCCTCGTTATTTTTTTACTGTTCTACAAAAAATGACATACATTCTGAATAGAATGACATATCATATGTCAACTTTTGACCTTCTTGCTTTAAAAAAATCGTATTTTAAATTTCAATCTAGAGTGTCATGGCTGTGTTAAAAATATTAATTTTTAATCAAGGAGTCGTGGAACAATAGATTTGATCGTCTAATGTTTTCCGTGTCTCGTTATGGCCGGTTAAAAGATGTCCAAATCGTATTGTTAATCATATCTCAATTTTTTCAAATGGAACGGGGGTGGCTCATTAGCATATTTGGAAAAAGATTTTTTTACGATTAATTTGATACCACACACTTGATATTTTGAGTCAAAATGTCGTTATGAACTGTATGTTACAATTTTAAATAAACCATATGGGAAGTCAAAAGTTGACATGTCATACGTCGTTCTATCCAAAGTGTAATTTTCTATCGTATAAAGTAAAAAATACTGAGGATGCCATTTAACAATCAAAAGTTGTAGTCATTTCCGGTGAAACAGGAAGTGACCGAAAACAATTGAATACGCCAATCAATCCTAATTTATGTCATATACTGACGTACCAAATCTCGTTTTTTTATCTGATAAAATAAAAAAAAAATATAGGACAATGGATGTTTTCTAAAAATGTTTATTCAAAGAAATAATTTTTTAATTTATTTATTGACTTTACATTACTAATAGAGGCTATTGGATAACAAAAACATTTTATTAAATTTTTTAACAAATTAAAAAAATCTCTGGTAAAAGTGTTTATTATAAATCGTAAATATTATTTTCCAAAACTATTATTCTTATTTTCAACATCACCCTGTATTTTTTTTACATACCTGTATTGGACGGATCGTCTTTACTAGAGGAAACACTTTTTTATTAGTAACGTTTTAAGGAAAATGTGTTTACTGTATGGTACAGTAAATTATAATACCGTATGATCGAAAAAAAAACGGCGTCAAAGACGGTTGGCGAATGACAATCGATGATAATGGCAAGGTCAATTTCTAGACCTCATTTATTAAACATTGACATAAAACTTGTCAAAAGTTAACACTAATTATGAAAAGGTTAAAAAAGAATAGAAAGTTTCCAGACACACAAATATACATATATCCAAAAAAAAAATTCTCGATTTTTTGACTAGATATGCCATTTTTACTTAAATAAAAATCAATTACAACCTTCTTAAAGCCAACTGGCAGTAAGCGCCGTTAAAAAATAAAAAAAAGTATGAGCTAAGTAAATGACGTCTAGGGCTCGGCCTCGCCAAAATTATCATCGATTGTCATTCCCCAGCCGTTTTTGACGCCGTTTTTTTTATACTAGGTATCTTGGAAACGCGTTCTGAATTTTAGGATTTATATAAATAAAATTTAACTGTTTTTTCTTAATTTTTTTTTCTCAAAAACTGTATGGAAATTTGGAAATGTAAAAACGTTATTAACCATTTTAGAACAAGAAAAAAGGTTTATAAAGAATGTGTTTTTCTCCAAATGATAATAATGAAAAAAAGTCCTTTTTAAAGACCATCTGAGAAAGGCACATACTGTATTATAGGGTTATGTTTTTAGTTTTCTAAAGAAATTTTGTATAAATAAAGTTAACACAAAAAATAAATATTTATTCTAACAATCCCATATTCTAACAATCACATTAATTATTTGTTATTCACTAAACATATAACAACAGTAAAAGAATACAGTAATTGTTGTTCTATAATATTTTTAAATTATAATACTATAAATATAATAGATACACGTATTTGGAAAACTCTTTCTTAAATATACAGGGTGGTCCATTAATGCTAGGAAGCTCAATATCGTTGTCGTTGTCGAAGATTTGAAAAAGTTTTATACAGTTTGTTGCATGGTTTATAAAGGGGAATATTTTAAATGTATTTTGTTGGATATAGGATGTACTAAAAAAAGTTATGATGAAGTTGTAGGTTTTGTTAAATTGCACCAAGTTCATTGGTGTTTAGGAAAGTTAGGTATATCCGCTTCAGTTTTTAATCAGTTTTCGAATATAGTGTTTTTGACCAAAGTTTTAGTAAATAAGAAATAGAATGGCAACACCATAAACTGCTTCAAATAAAAATAGTGTACTATATGCGAAATTTTATGCTGTATCTACTTCACTACAGAAAAAATGTGGACGCATTTAAAAAGAAGACATTATCACAACTTTTATTGTGACACCCTGTATACCTACAACAAAATATTTTTAGGATATGCACCATTATCAACCATGCAACATCTGTATAATACTTTTTTCCATATATTTGACAATAACGGCGATATTGGATTTTCCTTTGGTATTAATAGGCTACCCTGTATATAGACAATACAAAACATTTGAACAAAAAATAAAATTTCTAATATTAACAGATAACGAAAAATACATTTTCTAATTCTTGGTAACATAATAAAGCAAAATAATACTCAGAATAGATTAATAGAAAAAAAAAATAAAAAAAAATTCTTTAATATTTCCCCAATATTCCTTCTATCATATTCTCCAGAATTTTTAAGGATATATCATCGGCACACGAATAATTTGACCACAAATCCATGGATCCCGAAGGATTATTATTTATCCAAGATGTTCTGGAAGATGAAGGACTGCCTGGTAATGAGCAAGCACTGGTTGTATCGTTATCAGGGACCGGTTTTTTAAATTGAAGCTTTTTGTCGAAATGATCGATGGCTGAATTTGCTTGGAGGATTAGCCCACATCACTTCCACTTGAGATCCGGAATAAAAGTCTTTTAGCTTTCCTAAAGAGAGTTCTGCCACTTGTTTGGATACAAAATGAACAAAAGCGTAATCTCTGTGTGTGTAAACCTTCTCGATGTTCGTTTTATCTAAAAGTTCGTATAAAGTCTGTCTGAATTTCCATTTTGATGCATCAGAAACAGAAAGGCCACGTAGGAAAATAATCTTCACGTTTTCCAGAACATTCGCGTCGTATTCTTGAACTGGAATTGACCAGTCTACGAAAACTTGTCTTCCGAACAACGCCAGCTTATCTTGGAATTTTGCACGAAAATGAGAGGCCTCTTCGTGGGTTCCGAACTCTAAGAACACAAATCCTCTATTGTAAGAACTATTAAAGTAGTTCTTGTAGACTATCACGTTCACGATGTTTGTCACATTGTAAAGTTCGATAAGTTGATGCCAGATTTCTTTCTTGGTCTTATGCACTGGTAATCCTCCGATGAATATTCTGCAGTTGTCGATGGATAGTTCCATTGATAATACTGTAGTGCCTAGAAACACTTTTGAGCTGAGTTCTTTCATCGCTTTTCGTGCTAGAGTGCTGTTCATGTAGGTAACATAAGCGAATCCTCTGTTACTAACTCCGTGGTCCTGGACCATTAGCTTCACTTGAAACAAACACCCGACACTTTCGAAAAAATTCACCAAATCCCAAATCTTAACATTTTGCGGAATTTTGGAAACGAATATCTGGGAATGCTTTTCCGGTTTAAAGCCTGACAGTTTTATTTTATCAAACACTAATTGACGCAGCGCACTGAATTGCACACAATAATTTTGAAATGCGTTGTAGGAAGACGAAGACATTTTAAAAAAAAATCGGACTGCACACACTTCTTGTCACCTTGATGTCTTATACATAACTGATTGTATTGTATCGATAAAAAATAATCGAAATAGAGATGTTTACTCTATTTTAAAAAGGCAGTAGCACAGAGGCTTGCATATTTTCGAGGGGTCGAATGTTTTTTTCCTTGAGCGGTGCGTTTTTGTCGGTGGCGATCAAAAGCGGGCCATAAAATTCAAGGTTCTTTTTTGTTTAGTTCTGTAATTCCAGCTACCTGATAGGACTCCTAGAGTTTGGTGTTTATTTTATTTTTTGTCATATTAGATAAGAATGGATTCTTTATTTTTGCCCGATTGCAGAAGCAAAGCTTGCAGACGTGAGATAAAATAAAAAGAAACAATTTTTTTGTCACTTAAACAATATACCTATACAAATATTCTTTAAAGAGGCATTTTTCTGTTTTCTATTATACAGGATGGTCATAGAAATATAAGCATTATTATATTTTAGCGTAGATTTATACATATTTTATCGAAAAGAACTTGTATGAAAAAAAAACATATATTTTTAAGGTTTTAATAAATAATTTATGGAATATTTAACAATCCCATATACAAGGTAACGTAGCGTTCCAAAAAACCTCTGTATCAGGTTTATAGTTTGATATTTTCATTCCAATCTGGAAAAATCTATTGCCTATTCGCTCAGAGGACTAAATTTCCATTTCATAAATATACTTTATATCTAATGTCATATTCTATACCGAGTGGTTTTGGAAATATGACCATTTTTAGCCAACTGTGCTGCTTATTTAAACCTCTCTCAAAGTTTTATAATTGATAATTTTTTATATTCTTTAACCGGAATCCCGTGTAATAGTGTCTTCTTCTAAATTTAGTCAATTAAAATATACAATTTTGTTGGATATACTATACACGGCGAGTCAAAATTTAATGTTGTACTTTTTTCCACTACCTATTTCATAGGCCCTGTTTTCAAGAAACATTATTAGAAAACGGCGTCATCGATGGCTATGAAATGAACGTGGCTGTTATTCTATATGTAAAATTATATGGGGAATGTCATCGATCGTCATTTTCAAGCCAAATGGACGCATTTTTTTTCGATCATACGGTATAATTAAAATATGATCTTAGAAAGTCTATATGAAAATTAATCGTTAAATTGATCATCTACCGTAATTTTAGATCCCTACGATTACATCGAGTGTCTTATTAAATTATAAATCCTATATAAATACGCACATTACCCTAGCGACAAACTAGCAAATTCCAACTCAAATAAAACACAAAGCTACAACCCCTTCTTCTACACACGAATTTATAGATTCGTAACCCAATAAAGATAAGGTTAGTGGAACAAAACTTCCGGCTTTATTCGTTTGGCTACGAGAAATAAGATGGCCGCCGTCGCCTATCTAGTATTGTTCTTAATGAGGAACTAGGGAGAGAAATCATCATCCCCCAGCTTCCATTACGCCATTAATTAAATATATGCAAATGCCTGAGGCCCATTTAAGCCTTAGGGAGTAGTCTCAGGGTAGGTCTTTGTGTACGACACCATCATTTCTACTTTGGAAAGATAAGGGTGGAAGTAAGATCAAGAGAAAATAAAGTGGTATATCTATACGTTTATAGAAAACTAGCGTGTACCAGCGACTTCGTTCGCATCGAATTAATCATTTGTAATGGTGATGATAAAGCAAAGCATTGGATAAAATTTTCACACATTTATGTCAGCCTGAGAAAAAACAATACGGCGATATTATTATATAACTTGGTAATATTTGAGGGGTAGTTTCATCTCGGAATAAGCTTTTTACGTCGAGCAGTTTAAGCAGAATCGTGGTTAATCAATTACCCAACTTTTTGGAACACCCTGTATGATTTTTAAAAAAATTCAAAATATGTAAAAAAACCAAATAAATTATGCTTGTCCAAGCGTTTTCCCGAAAGACTAACCGTTTTTTAAGTAAAGAATATATTAATATTTGAGGGGCGTTTTCACCATCTTGGAATTTGAGATTTTTCGAAACACCCTGTATACATTTTTAAAAAATCTTAAAATATGTAAAAAAACAAAATAAAATATACGTGTTTAAGCTTTTTTTTCGGAAACTTGACCGTTTTTTAAATAAAAAATATTGTAATATTTGAGGGGTGGTTTCACCCTCTTGGAACTGGAATTTTGAAAAATCCCTTCTTATCGAACCTTTACACCCTAGAAGCAACCTGTATGCCAAAATTCAGCTTCTTACGTTGAGTGGTTTGAGCAGGATCGTGATTAAATAGTATGTCAGTCACTTAAGGATTTTATATATTAGTACAGATAACTTTTTTTTAGGAAATAAATCTGCTGGCAAACTGGTTAAATAATAAAAAATGGTATACGAAGACAAAACAAAGATGTACTTATTTATTTATTGTCCTATAAGAGGCTGTCCTATCAAACGCACTGACGCGACGGCCAGGTCGCAGCGACCTGGTCGTTGGCTGGTCGGATATATTGCGTACATAGATGCGTCCAAATGAACGACCAGTTTCAGCAGGGCTGTCAGATCTAACGATTTTTTACGTTTTACCAATTAGAAAATATTGTTTTCAGAAATGTTAAAATATCCGAGTTAACTAAAAAACGAAGTTCCTATTCATTGAGCTTATTAAGTGTTCTAATATTAAATAATGCATTTAATAGTTATTTTTTATACAAGACGATAAAATGGTATTTTATCGTCGTGTATAAAACAATAGTTTTTTCCATAGCAAGTTACGTTTTAAATAATATTCAGAAATTATTATTTCAAGGAATTTATTACGAGTAGAAAATATATTGTGCTGGGTTGGCCTTGGTTTCTATATATGTACTTTGACAGATAAATAAAGCTGTCTCTTTAGTTGTCAGTTTTGAGTCAATATTTTTTAATTCTCTTTCGTGTCGATTGCTGATTGAATTGGAGCCAGGAATTGCTCAAAACGAAATAAGTAAATTACCAACTAGGGAATCCAAGTCCCGGGATAAAAATGCTTTCGGGACTTCGGGACCAAATATGAGGTCCCGGGACAAGTCCCGGGAGTCCCGGAACTGGTCCCGAAACTAAAATGCACAGTATACTTATCTAATATCGATCTGTCTTGAGAAAATATAAGAAATTAAATTAATTTAACTGAGAACTCAGGTTTATTTATATTGCTAAATGGTTAACCAACAAAAATCAAAACAAAAAAAAACAGAAACAAATTGACATGAACTCATGGGAACATGGCAAATATAAAACTATAAAAAACTATATAAACTAAAAAAATATAAGTATATAACGAGACACATCACTTTTGTCCAAAGTAAGACTTAAGTGCCACGAGAGCATTTAAGGATTTATCATCTAATCTTGAACGAAGCTTACTACAAAATCCACCGGCAACTGAAAAAGCTCTCTCCGATTGGACGCTGGTGGGTGGAATATATATAAGTAAATGCTTGTAACATAGCTGCAAATATGGTCCCGGACTACCGCCATCCTCAAAAAAGACCATTTCTCGTTTTATAACTTTTGATAATCGATCTGGTTTTGCAGCTAATGACGTTTGTATGATTGCTCTTGTACTTGTTGAGGCAGTAGCAGATATTGCACTTTCGATAAATCCGTCTAACCTTTTTGCCAATGGAACTTTCTCAACCTGATTACTATTTCTGTTTCTTATCTCCGCCAGCGAAACTTCGTCTTCACCTGAAACAGCTTCTTGCTTCTTGCTCTTGGATTGTGATAATCTTTGCACCAATTTGTTAATGAACTTTAAGATTTCTTTGGTATCTGGCTTAGACTGATTAAAATCTAAAAGATTGCTTAAACTTTCTATATATTTTAATGGATTACAAACTAAGCACACTGGAGGTAAGGGTTCTTCGCTCGTTTATTCGTTGCTTCAATGCTTCCTGTAAGTTTTGGCTTAAAGGCGCATTGATTTTTGAAAGTTCTTCGAATATAAACTTAAAGCTAGCATCAGCAGTGTAGAGATTTGCTTCATACCTACATAGTGTCATCACAGCTAGCCTTATAGGTTCTAGGCACTTAACAATTCCGTCCAGAATTTCAAAATCGTAGTCACTGAAATTTACTGATATGGAGAGATCAATCATGGCCTTTTGTATGCAATCTTTTAGAAAAACAAACCTTTCTAGCATTCCATCAAGGCTATTCCAACGGGTTTTACAATCTAAAATAAGATTTAATTCTCGGTTGTATTTTCCGTGCACGTATTTCTGTAAAACAGTGTTTTTCAATGGAGAGCTTCGAAATAACTTTACGATTTTTCGGACTTTGTTGACTAATTCGTTTATGTTGTAGCTGTCAGTTAGGTCGTAAATGATCTCTTCATCCACAGTTTCATTGTCGTCGTCGCTATAATTATCATCACTTGACAGGTCTTCAATGATTTTCTGATGGTTTCTTTTACAATACATTACTTCAACAACTGCAAGGTATAATAATTTAGCGGTTTCGGGACCAAGTTGAGGTCCCGGGACTGGATACCCTATTACCAACAGATATTCAGACTGAGGCGACAAACGCCATATCCAAACTACTTCCATTTAAATCCCGAATATATGAAAAGGAATACAAAAATTTTCAAAAATGGAAACAATTAAAAAACGTGCGAGAAGAAATAAAGTTTTTAACCTATCCTCGCTGTTAAAGTATCATTTTATCTACCCTTGCGGTTAAAGTACTATTTTATCTGCTATTTTTGATAGATATAAGGCAATTTTAACAGTTGCTATGGAAAAAAAATTAATG